AGCTCATAAAATTCATACAAATTACCGGTCAGAATATATTTTACATTGCTGGAATTCTTATAATTTGGTGATCATTTTGAATATAAACAACATATATTTTGCATTAAACATACAATTTTTAGATAAAAATTTGTTCTCTAGATAATTATGTTATCTTTTGTCCAAAATATATGACATTTATATTCAAAATATTCCTGGTCTTACAAGGAATCCAGCAATGTCAATTATATTATCCTAACTTTAATCTGAGGTATTATTTAATACTAAATGTTAAAAACTCTTGAATGGAGGATTGGTGGGGTTGGGACTGACCACGCGGTTGGAAGAGGCAAGGTGGGGTACTTTGATTGACAGATAGTGTCGAAGGATTTTTTATTAACTGAAGATATTTGTTTTAGCTCATAAAATTCATACAAATTATCCGGCCAGAATAAATTTACATTGCTGGAATTCTTACAATTTGCTGATCATTTTGAATATAAACAACATATATTTTGCATTAAACATACAATTTTTAAAATAAAATTGTTCTCTAAATAATTATGTTATCTTTTGTAGAAAAATATATGACATTTATATTCAAAATATTCCTGGTCTTACAAGGAATCCAGCAATGTCAATTATATTATCCTAACTTTAGTTTGAGGAATTATTTTTACTATACCTGGTTTTCCCCAAAAATTTCTCAGAGGGAAGAGCCAGTGAGTGTAGTGTGAGAAGAGGGGAGGAGTTGAGTCCATTATTTGAATGGACATTAACTTAGCGACTGTATTTCTCTATTTCTCTTAAGTATTAATTGTGTGCATGTACCATCATAAAATTAAGATGTTATTTTACTACAACATAGTTATTTGTCGTCAAAAAGGTGGGTTGGGGTCGGGCTGGGTTCTATTGGAATTAATCCCATATGTTCTGTTATTCATAGCGGTTTCCTTCCGGGACCCTCTGGGTTCAATTGACCGGGTAGTGGGGCTATATATATATATATATATATATATATATATATATATATATATATATATATATATATATATATATATATATATATATATATATATATAATATATATATATAATATATATATATACATATAATATATATATATATATATATATATATATATATATATATATATATATATATATATATATATATATATATATATATATATATATATATATATATATATATATATATATATACACACACAGTATAGTCTGCATTTACTCGGTCAATTGAACCCGTGGGGGTCCGCATAAAATGAGAAACGCGTAAATGAAATAACAAAACATATGGGATTAATTGACATAGAGACTGGGCCGACCCCCAAACTCCACTTTTTCCGACACATACGTACCTTGTAGTAAAAATCACATCTTAATTTTAGGATGGTATGCACACACAATTAATAATTAAGAGAAATATCAATAATATTAGGTTTTTAACACTTAGGTTAGTAGAAAAGATGGCTCGGCACACGGGGATAGGGGGTTGGTTCCGAGGTAGAGGGCAGATTAGTAGCCCTCCGGTGAATCACTTTCACTACTCGCAGAGGTTTGCAGGGCCTCCCAGACAAACCCCTCAAAGTCCATATCGTCACTATCACTGACTTGGGCTGGCTGTGGTTGGTTGCGGGCGAGGAAGTCCTCAATACTACGTTGACGACTAGCAATGATGTTGTCGAGATAGATCTGGATATACGGCTCCATAACTTTCGACAGATGGTTATTAGACGCTTCATACCGATGCTTGTCTGGGTAGTTGTTAAGGATGAGCTTAATTTTCTCCCCCAATTGGATGATTTCCTTCACATTATCATGGCTTGGTCCAGGTAATTCAAGGTTTTTATCTGGTGGTGGGGGGTCCTGCTGAAGCCATTGTGAGGGGAATAGCGGGCACAAGAGAGAACTGTATACGCGGACTGAGAACAATGAGACAGGCCCGGCTAGGTCAGAGACTTCTTCCCTCTAGTGGCAGGGCACGTCATGTTACATTAGACCAATCACAGCTAGCGGCGGAGGGAATGCGTGGGTGGTAAGGATGCGTGGCCTAATCACAGTCCAATACGTCATATGACGTCAGCGATAACGTAAGAGCTGCCAAATGCGCACCCCTCACCGTGCCGCTTCCTGCGTATGGTCAAGAATGGACCGCGTGTGTAAAAAATGGTGCAGCGGTCTGGACCTCTCCAGCCTCTCGCCGCGTAAATGACCAAAATAACCGCGTAATTAAAGCATTTTCATTCTAGCAAGGTACTGCGTAAATGACCAAACGCGTAAACAAAAGGTGCGTAAATGCAGACTCTCTCAAGGCCAGAAAAATCCCTCATCCCCAGAATTTTACAGATATTGGAAAAATTATCTTGGAAGTTCCAGAAATTACCCATTACGTCATCTCTCAAACCTGGCTATCAGAGAGTTCCAGTACAGTATCTGTTGTAACACTACAGTACAGTACCTGTTGCAACACTACAGTACAGTAGAGTACCTGTTGTAACACTACAGTACAGTACCTGTTGCAACACTACAGTACAGTACCTGTTGTAACACTACAGTACAGTACCTGTTGTAACACTACAGTACAGTACCTGTTGTAACACTACAGTACAGTACCTGTTGTAACACTACAGTACAGTACCCGTTGTAACACTACAGTACAGTACCTGTTGTAACACTACAGTACAGTACCTGTTGTAACACTACAGTACAGTTCCCATTGTAACACTACACTACAGTACCCATTGTAACACTACACTACAGTACCCATTGCAACACTGCACTACAGTACCCATTGTAACACTACAGTAGAGTACCTGTTGTAACACTACAGTACAGTACCTGTTGTAACACTACAGTACAGTACCTGTTGTAACACTACAGTACAGTACCTGTTGTAACACTACAGTACAGTACCTGTTGTAACACTACACTACAGTTCCCGATGTAACACTACAGTACAGTACCTGTTGTAACACTAAAGTACAGTACCTGTTGTAACACTACAGTACAGTACCTGTTGTAACACTACACTACAGTTCCCGATGTAACACTACAGTACAGTACCTGTTGTAACACTAAAGTACAGTACCTGTTGTAACACTAGAGTACAGTACCTGTTGTAACACTAGAGTACAGTACCTGTTGAAACACTACAGTACAGTACCTGTTGTAACACTACAGTACAGTACCTGTTGCAACACTACAGTACAGTACCTGTTGTAACACTACAGTACAGTACCTGTTGTAACACTACAGTACAGTACCTGTTGTAACACTACAGTACAGTACCTGTTGTAACACTACAGTACAGTACCTGTTGTAACACTACAGTACAGTACCTGTTGTAACACTACAGTACCTGTTGTACACTACAGTACCTGTTGTAACACTACACTACCTGTTGTAACACTACAGTACCTGTTGTAACACTACACTACCTGTTGTAACACTACAGTGCAGTACACTACCTGTTGTAACACTACAGTGCAGTAAACTACCTGTTGTAACACTAGTGCAGTACAGTACCTGTTGTAACACTACACTACCTGTTGTAACACTACAGTACCTGTCGTAACACTACACTACCTGTTGTAACACTATAGTGCAGTACACTACCTGTTGTAACACTACACTACCAGTTGTAACACTAGTGCAGTACAGTACCTGTTGTAACACTACACTACACTACCTGTTGTAACACTACAGTACCTGTTGTAACACTACACTACATGTTGTAACACTACACTACCTGTTGTAACACTACAGTACACTACCTGTTGTAACACTACACTACCTGTTGCAACACTACAGTACACTACCTGTTGTAACACTACACTACCTGTTGTAACACTACAGTACACTACCTGTTGTAACACTACACTACCTGTTGTAACACTACAGTACACTACCTGTTGTAACACTACACTACCTGTTGTAACACTACAGTACACTACATGTTGTAACACTACACTACCTGTTGTAACACTACAGTACACTACATGTTGTAACACTACACTACCTGTTGTAACACTACACTACCTGTTGTAACACTACACTACCTGTTGTAACACTACACTACCTGTTGTAACACTACACTACCTGTTGTAACACTACAGTACAGTACCTGTTGTAACACTACACTACCTGTTGCAACACTACAGTACACTACCTGTTGTAACACTACAGTACACTACCTGTTGTAACACTACACACTACAGTACAGTACCTGTTGCAACCTACACTACCTGTTGCAACACTACAGTACACTACCTGTTGTAACACTACACTACCTGTTTAACAACTACAGTACAGTACCTGTTTGTAACACTACACTACCTGTTGTAACACCACTACACTACCTGTTGTAACACTACACTACCTGTTGTAACACTACACTATTGTAACACTACACTACCTGTTGTAACACTACACTACCTGTTGCAACACTACAGTACTACCTGTTGTAACACTACACTACCTGTTGTAACACTACAGTACACTACCTGTTGTAACACTACACTACCTGTTGTTACACTACACTACCTGTTGTTACACTACACTACCTGTTGTAACACTACACTACCTGTTGTAACACTACAGTACACTACCTGTTGTAACACTACACTACCTGTTGTAACACTACACTACACTACCTGTTGTAACACTACACTCCCTGTTGTAACACTACAGTACAGTACCTGTTGTAACACTACACTACCTGTTGTTACACTACACTACCTGTTGTAACACTACACTACCTGTTGTAATACTACAGTACACTACCTGTTGTAACACTACACTACCTGTTGTAACACTACACTACACTACCTGTTGTAACACTACAGTACACTACCTGTTGTAACACTACAGTACACTACCTGTTGTAACACTACACTACCTGTTGCAACACTACAGTACACTACCTGTTGTAACACTACACTACCTGTTGCAACACTACAGTACACTACCTGTTGTAACACTACACTACCTGTAGTAACTTACTTTAGTATGGACGGTAAACTTGACTTTCTCTCTCTCACTCAAGGCATCAGAAATATCCACTTGAAGGGAACTGTCGTTAAGGTCCACTGTGTCAGACCTTCCACTCTGAAATAAAAAAATAAATAAATACAGTATAGTGCAACAGTGTTAATAACACTTACTATACTGTACAACCAATCACCATCCTTGTGGTCACCATCACAGAACCAATCACACCTTGTGGTTACCAGTACAGCGCAGCATGGTACAGTGCAGTATGGTGCAGTGCAGTATGGTGCAGGACAGTATAGAGCAGGACAGTATAGAGCAGGACAGTATAGTGCAGTATGGTACAGTGCAGTACAGTAAAGAGCAGTATGGTACAATGCAGTACAGTATAGTGCAGTATGGTACAGTGTAGTACAGTAAAGAGCAGTATGGTGCAGTACAGTATAGTGCAGGACAGTATAGAGCAGGACAGTATAGAGCAGGACAGTATAGTGCAGTATGGTACAGTGCAGTACAGTAAAGAGCAGTATGGTACAATGCAGTACAGTATAGTGCAGTATGGTACAGTGTAGTACAGTAAAGAGCAGTATGGTGCAGGACAGTATAGAGCAGGACAGTATAGAGCAGGACAGTATAGAGCAGGACAGTATAGTGCAGTATGGTACAGTGCAGTACAGTAAAGAGCAGTATGGTACAGTGCAGTACAGTAAAGAGCAGTATGGTGCAGTACAGTATAGTGCAGGACAGTATAGAGCAGGACAGTATAGTGCAGTACAGTAAAGTGCAGTACAGTATAGTGCAGTATGGTACAGTGTAGTACAGTAAAGAGCAGTATGGTTCAGTACAGTATAGTGCAGGACAGTATAGAGCAGGACAGTATAGAGCAGTACAGTATAGTGCAGTATGGTGCAGTACAGTAAAGAGCAGTATGGTTCAGTACAGTATAGTGCAGTATGGTGCAGCACAGTAAAGAGCAGTATGGTTCAGTACAGTATAGTGCAGGACAGTATAGAGCAGGACAGTATAGTGCAGTATGGTACAGTGCAGTACAGTAAAGAGCAGCATGGTTCATTACAGTATAGTGCAGGACAGTATAGAGCAGGACAGTATAGTACAGTATAGTGCAGTATGGTACAGTGTAGTACAGTAAAGAGCAGTATGGTTCAGTACAGTATAGTGCAGGACAGTTTAGAGCAGGACAGTATAGTGCAATACAGTATAGTGCAGTACAGTATAGTGCAGTATGGTACAGTATAGTGCAGTATGGTACAGTATAGTGCAGGACAGTATAGAGCAGGACAGTATAGAGCAGGACAGTATAGAGCAGTACAGTATAGTGCAGTACAGTATAGTGCAGTACAGTATAGTGCAGTATGGTACAGTGCAGTACAGTATAGTGCAGTATGGTACAGTGTAGTACAGTAAAGAGCAGTATGGTTCAGTACAGTATAGTGCAGGACAGTATAGAGCAGGACAGTATAGTGCAATACAGTATAGTGCAGTACAGTATAGTGCAGTATGGTACAGTACAGTATAGTGCAGGGCAGTATAGAGCAGGACAGTATAGAGCAGGACAGTATAGAGCAGTACAGTATAGTGCAGTACAGTATAGTGCAGTACAGTATAGAGCAGGACAGTATAGAGCAGGACAGTATAGAGCAGGACAGTATAGTGCAGTACAGTATAGTGCAGTATGGTACAGTACAGTATAGTGCAGTATGGTTCAGTACAGTACAGTGGGGTATGCTATAACGAACGGATCTTACTACGAATATTCCTATAATGAACGGTTTTACCTATAAAATTGAGAATACTATAACGAACGAAACTCCTACAACGAACATAATTTAAATTTTTTTGTTTTTCTAATTTATTGTTTTATTATTACAAATATTAATGATATTCTTTATTTCAGGGGTTTAGATGCATATTTATGCACGTTTTTACAATTTTTACAATTTTATATTATATTTTTCAGTGTTAAGTGGTTGTATTTGGGGGCCTGGAACGGATTAATCCTATAACAAACGAATGCTATAACGAACAAGGTTCTAGAACCAATTAGATTCGTTATAGCATACCCCAATGTATAGTGCAGGACAGTATAGAGCAGGACAGTATAGTACAGTATAGTGTAGTATGGTTCAGTACAGTATAGTGCAGCATGGTTCAGTACAGTATAGTGCAGGACAGTATAGAGCAGGACAGTATAGTGCAGCATGGTTCAGTACAGTATAGTGCAGGACAGTATAGAGCAGGACAGTATTGTATAGTGCAGTACAGTATAGTGCAGTATGGTACAGTACAGTATAGTGCAAGACAGTATAGAGCAGGACAGTATAGTACAGTATAGTGCAGTATGGTTCAGTACAGTATAGTGCAGGACAGTATAGTGCAGGACAGTATAGAGCATGACAGTATAGTACAGTATAGTGCAGTATGGTTCAGTACAGTATAGTGCAGTATGGTTCAGTACAGTATAGTGCAGGACAGTATAGAGCAGGACAGTATAGTGCAGTATAGTATAGTGCAGTATGGTAGTGTAGTACAGTAAAGAGCAGTATGGTATAGTGCAGTACAGTGCAGGACAGTAAAGAGCAATATGGTAGAATGCAGTGTGGTGCAGTACAGTGCAGTAAAGAGCAGTATGGTACAGTGCAATACACTACAGTACAGCAGTAGAGTACAGTACAGCACAGTATAGTACAGTATAGTATAGTACAGTATTGTATAGTACAGTACAGTAGAGTACAGTATAGTACAGTACAGTACTGTACTTCATTGCACTGTATTGTACTGTAATGTACTGCACGGTACTGTGTTGCACTGTACTGTTTTGTACTATACTGTATTTTACTGTACTGTATGGTACTGTACTGCTTTGGACTGCACTGCATTGCAGTGTACTGTATTGTACTACATTGTACTGTACTATATTGTACTGTATTTTACTGTATTGTACTGCACTGTATTGTACAGTACTTGAATTGTACTGTACTGTACTTTACAGTACTGTATTGTACTGTACTGAACAGTACTGTACTGTATGACACTGTATGGTACTGTACAGTACTCTACAGTACTGTATTGTACAGTACTGTAGTGTAGTGTACTGTAGTGTACTGTATTGTACTGTACTGTATTGTACTGTACTGTATTGTACTCTACTATAGTGTACTGCAGTGTACTCTACTATAGTGTACTGCAGTGTAGTGTACTGTAGTGTACAGTACTGTACAGTACTGTATTGTACTATACTGTACTGTATTGTACTGTAAAGTACTGTATTGTACTGTACAGTATTGTATTGTAATATACTGTACTGTATTAAACTGCACTGTACAGTACTGTACTGTATTGTATTGTACAGTACAGTACAGTATTTTACTCAACTGTACTGTACTGCAGTGTAGTGTAGTGTACTGTATTGTACTGTACTGTACTGTACAGTACTGTACTGTAAAGTACTGTACAGTACTGTATTGTACTATACTGCATTGTATTGTATTGTACTGTACTGTACAGTACTGTATTGTACAGTACTGTACTGTATTGTACAGTACTGTACAGTATTGTAGTGTAGTGTACAGTACTGTATTGTACTATACTGTATTGTACTCTACTGTATTGTACTCTACTGTAGTGTACTGTACAGCACTGTATTGTACTGTACAGTACTGTATTGTACTATACTGTACTGTATTGTACTGTACAGTACTGTATTGTACAGTACCATACTGTATTGTACTGTACAGTACTGTATTGTTCTGTACAGTATGGTATTGTAGTGTACAGTACTGTATTGTACTCTACTGTATTGTACTGTACAGCACTGTATTGTACTGTACAGTACTGTATTGTACTATACTGTACTGTATTGTACTGTACAGTACTGTATTGTACAGTACCATACTGTATTGTACTGTACAGTACTGTATTGTTCTGTACAGTATGGTATTGTAGTGTACAGTACTGTATTGTACTCTACTGTATTGTACTGTACAGCACTGTATTGTACTTTACTGTAGTGTACTGTAGTGTACTGTACTGCACTGTACTGTATTGTACTGTACTGTGCTACATTGTACTGTACAGTACTGTATTGTACTCTACTGCACTGTACTTTACAGTACTGTATTGTACCATACTGTATTGTACTGTACTGTATTGTACTGTACTGTACTTTATTGTAGTGTACTGTACTGTATTGTACAGTACTGTTTTGTACTGTATTGTACAGTACTGTACTGTAGTGTACTGTGGATGTACTGTATTGTACAGTATTGTATTGTACAGTACTGTATTGTACAGTACTGTATTGTAGTGTATTGTACTATAGTGAGCTTTGTCAGATCAAGCTTGCGCCAGATGAAAAACATACACCTATGAGATTGTTGTTTGTAAATGTGAGACTATGTTATCGCCCCAAGGACTATCTTTGATACTACAAGTGATGTTGCTGTCCATATGTGACATCAGTCTCTGTGATGAAGGTTTGGTCTTGGTGGGAGGTGTAATGATTGAATATCAGACCAGAGCTTACAGCCCAGAATTACATCACATATAACAGCGAGTACACTACAGACCTCCTGGTACCACCACATACCAGGTGGACACCTCAAGACCCAAGGGACCCGACCTCGCCGCTAATGACTTGAGTTAGCCGGGTGACCTGACCTACCAAGACACCTGGGCATGACCACACCTGGACACAGCTGTCCAGATCTAACCAGTTTAGTGTGAATTGGCAGGCCAAACACGGGCTGTGAGCCCCCATATAAAGGCTCGGCAGTCCTGCCCACAGTTTCATTCTCATTCTGATTTTGGTTGTCATTCGAACATTCTGAGGAGACGCTCATTATTCTGGAGATTCTCAGAGTCACGCTCGTCCTCTCCCCAGGTCGGGGGGGGGGGGGGACTCCCCGACGTCACCAGCTAAGCAGAAGCCTCCCATAGGAGGCAGCCCAACCAAGCACCCACTGGGCCTACGTCAGGGTACACGTGAGTCTTGTCAGAACTATTCCTAGGGTGAGTTACCTACTGTGGGAAGTGTATTCATTCATGTTGTGTTCGAGTCAGTGTCGAGTAAAGAAAAATATAATGTGTTAATACCCAGA